TATTTTCGAAGTCATAATTTTTAATATCAATATTGTTTCATGTGATATATAAATATATCAACACGTCAATCGATATTCGATTGAATGTATGTATGTATATATTATGGAAAAATTTAATAGTGATTGATAGTTGAGAGGGGAAGGTGTGTTGAGGAAAATGAGTGGAGTAGACAAGACACCGAAAATAAAGAAAAAACAGTGCAAAATTGGGTGTCTTTTAGGAGAAACCAAACCGAGTCACATGAGACCAAGTTTGTACTGTTAGTTTGTTCCGCTCAACTCAATCATACCCTATGTCCTAACAGTCCTGTGCGGTTGAGAAATCAAAATGTCAATATCTGATGGGTTAAGGGCCCCATTTTTTAAGAATCTCCGTTTAAACGGAAAATGAGTAAGGAATAAGGACAAGAGAAAAGGATCTTTAGTCCCTCTCTACTATATTCATTACATATATTCAACCCACGAGATCGAATAGGACGAGTGTTCTCGTCCAAATCCACGCCTCAATCTAATTTATTATTATTATTATTATATATATAATATATAGTATGGGTGAATATTAAAATATAATTTTTTAGAAATTAAATTGAACATTATAATAAATTTTCACTTATGAAATATTATTCGATTTATTAAAACAAAATAAAAACTATCCACTTAAATGATATATTTTTCAAATATATATATATATATATATATATATATATATATAATATGGAAGAAAAAAAGTTATACGGGAATTTTGGTAGAATAGAAATTAAAATAGAAGGCGGGACACATGAAAAACTATCGATCGCAATGTAATGGTATGTTCTTCAAATAATTTCTTTTATTATTGTTTCATTAATGATGCAAAGCTCTCGCTTACTTGAATGTCAAATCATGTTATGCGATTGATAAGCTACGTGAACGTATGTATAATTATTAGATAAAATGGACATTGCACGTGGTCTCGTGGTTGTTTGATTAACCCTTTCACTTTTCTAATTGATTAATTGAACTGGTTGGCTTGAAAGAGATTATTAGTCCAAAAAACAAGTGACCGTACATTATCATGATCTTTTTATTCAAAAATAAGTACGTACAAGAAAGAAACTCTTTTGGACGATATTAACCTTACTTTTTTTGTTTAATACCCAAATTGTCCCTTCATTTATCTCTACAAGTGGGTTCTTTTTCCTTTCTTTTTTTTTTTAAAAAATAAAATAACCGACACATATTTTTTAAATTTTAATTTCAATCCTATTTATTCGACCCTCTCCTTTACTCGGGTCACATTAAAGTTATACTTATTTAAAATTTATATATATATATATATATATATATATTTATTTATTTTAGATTTAGTATGGTAGGCTTGGAATTTTTTAATCAATTTTTATAAAACATTAATCTCACTCTTAATTTTAGGGTATAATGAAATAATTTGAAAATATCACGTGCATGCACGTGTTAATAAAACAATTTGAGAGCGAATTTAGATAATATTAATTTTGTAATATAAAAATAGTACCGATACCCTTTTATTTTTCGAGAATTAAAAATATATTTTAATTTGACAGTCAAAGATTTCAACTCGCTCTTTTTAATCATTCGCTCTCACCCTTCTTTAGACAATAATATTCTATTTTAGTTTTTTTTTCTCTCTTTATATTTTTAGTATTTTTAATTCCTTTTAACTTAATTTGTAAGTAATAATAAATTCATTTTTAATTAAATCAATTTGAATTTTTGAAGTTTAAAAAGGTGATCCACCCAATGAAGTATAAAATTTAAATCTCTTTCTATATTATATTAAAAAAAATGTTTTGAGAAATTAAATCGGAAATGTTTTCTTTATTAAGACCAATGTTTTTTTTTTTTTTTTTTTTTTTTTTTTTTTTTTTTTTTTTTTTTTTTTTTTT